TTCCAAGAGTCTCTGCCATACAACAGAACTGGCTCAATCTAACATTGCAGTATTCGTTTTTGATGTTTAATGAGCGTGATTTATTACGTACTTATTACCTTCTGAAATGCTGCCATTTCCTGACCAATTCTGCTCTTATCTGTCCCACATCGTCCATCTGATGTTTTGTATGTCCCCAAATACTTGAATTTATTGACTTGGTTAAACACTTTCCCTTTAATTGCTATGTCACATTTTGGAGTTATCTTTTTCTTTGATATAACCATTTTTCTATTTTCTTGACATTCAAGGACAGTCACTTTCTTGCTCTCTCTAGTAAAACAATGTTTAATAGTTGCTGTGTGTATTCTGCGTTTTCAGCTAGTAATACTGTATCATCTGCATAAGGAAGATTGTTTATATTAGAGCCTCAAACTAGTATTCCTTGTCTATTCTCCTTGACCTCCCTCATTATTATTTCACTATATATATATATATATATATATATATATATATATATATATATATATATATATATATATATATATATATATATAGAGAGAGAGAGAGAGAGAGAGAGAGAGAGAGAGACAGATAGAGAGAAATCTAGGCATGATAAAAATATTTCACTGGTTAACTGGTGCAGACGAACTGAAATCACTTGAGACAGTCATTAATGTGAAGCCATAAAAAAGCCAGAAGACTGGTTATAAAAAAGCAGAAGTTAAACAGCATTAAAAACTTATCACAAAGCAATAGGCTATTCGTCTAAGTTTACTCAGGGACCAAAATGTTGAAAATGGCGATCGCCACGGGACAGAAACCTAAGCTACATCATGTGACGATCATTTATACAATCGGCCAGAAACCAAAGCTCCAACATATGACGATCATTCATACAATAGTCCAGAAACCTGAGCTCCAACATATGACGATCATTCATACAATTGTCCAGAAACCTGAGCTCCAACATATGACGATCATTTATACAATTGGCCAGAAACCTGAGCTCCAACATATGACGATCATTCATACAATTGTCCAGAAACCAAGGCTCCAACATATGACGATCATTCATACAATTGTCCAGAAACCAAGGCTCCAACATATGACGATCATTCATACAATTGTCCAGAAACCAAGGCTCCAACATATGACGATTTTTCATACAATTGGCCAGAAACCTGAGCTCAATCATTTGTCGATCATTCTTACAATTGGTAATGATCCACAGTCAATTTGCCGGGACTTTGCAGGCTTGATTTCGCACGTGGGCTGCCATCTGAGCAGCCCGGGCATAGCACAAGTACAAAAACTAAATATTTAGTGAACATTTGTCTTTGCCAAGACAACATACCAGTGTGTTTCATCGACCATTTCTAGGTTACCGAATAAGACTTCAGAACTTGCATGTCACAAAAAAAAAAACTGTAAGAACATTATGGCACTAAACAAATTATAATATTCCACAAGTTAAAATCATGAAAAAAAAAAACTGGCACATATATAAAAGCATGTCTTAGAAATTACACACTTTGATTCTTGTCTTGCTATTTAGATTTTAAATCAACTCTTAGAAATTATATTCTTTGAATCACATCTTAGAAATTATTTACTTTGAATCAAATCTGAGAAATTATCTATATTGAATCAAGTCTTAAAAATTATTTACATTGAATCAAGTCTTAGAAATTATCTACACTAAACCAAGTCTTAAACATTATATGTATTAATCTTAGAAATGATCTAAATTGAATCAAGTCTTAGAAATGATCTATTTTGAATAAAGTTTTAGAAATTACATATTGTGAATCACATAATGGAAACTGTAAAACTTTGAACAAATAATAAGTTTTGCCCTTCTAAAATCTACCCAAGGAATGTGACATGCCTTCTTATGATGCAGGTAAATCTACCCAAGGAATGTGACATGCCTTCTTATGATGCAGGTAAATCTACCCATGAAATGTGACATGCCTTCTTATGATGCAGGTAAATCTACCCATGGAATGTGGTATGTCTTCTTATGATGCAGGTAAATCTACCCAAGGAATGTGGCATGTCTTCTTATGATACAGGTAAATCTACCCATGGAATGTGGTATGTCTTCTTATGATACAGATAAATCTACCCAAGGAATGTGACATGTCTTCTTATGATGCAGGTAAATCTACCCAAGGAATGTGGTATGTCTTCTTATGATGCAGGTAAATCTACCCAAGGAATGTGGTATGTCTTCTTATGATGCAGGTAAATCTACCCAAGGAATGTGACATGCCTTCTTATGATGCAGGTAAATCTACCCATGAAATGTGGTATGTCTTCTTATGATGCAGGTAAATCTACCCATGGAATGTGACATGTCTTCTTATGATACAGGTAAATCTACCCAAGGAATGTGGTATGTCTTCTTATGATGCAGGTAAATCTACCCAAGGAATGTGACATGCCTTCTTATGATGCAGGTAAATCTACCCAAGGAATGTGGTATGTCTTCTTATGATGCAGGTAAATCTACCCAAGGAATGTGGTATGTCTTCTTATGATGCAGGTAAATCTACCCATGGAATGTGACATGTCTTCTTATGATACAGGTAAATCTACCCATGGAATGTGACATGTCTTCTTATGATACAGGTAAATCTACCCATGGAATGTGACATGTCTTCTTATGATACAGGTAAATCTACCCAAGGAATGTGGTATGTCTTCTTATGATACAGGTAAATCTACCCATGGAATGTGACATGTCTTCTTATGATGCAGGTAAATCTACCCATGGAATGTGACATGTCTTCTTATGATGCAGGTAAATCTACCCAAGAAATGTGGTATGTCTTCTTATGATACAGGTAAATCTACCCATGGAATGTGACATGTCTTCTTATGATACAGGTAAATCTACCCATGGAATGTGACATGTCTTCTTATGATACAGGTAAATCTACCCATGGAATGTGGTATGTCTTCTTATGATGCAGGTAAATCTACCCATGGAATGTGGTATGTCTTCTTATGATACAGGTAAATCTACCCATGGAATGTGACATGTCTTCTTATGATACAGGTAAATCTACCCATGAAATGTGACATGTCTTCTTATTATGCAGGTGAATCTACCCAAAGAATGTGACATGTCTTCTTGTGATGCAGGTAAATCTACCCATGGAATGTGACATGTCTTCTTGTGATGCAGGTAAATCTACCCATGGAATGTGACATGTCTTCTTATGAAGCAGGTAAATCTACCCAAAGAATGTGACATGTCTTCTTATGAAGCAGGTAAATCTACCCAAGGAATGTGACATGTCTTCTTATGAAGCTGGTAAATCTACCCAAGGAATGTGACATGTCTTCTTATGATGCAGGTAAATCTACCCATGAAATGTGACATGTCTTCTTATGATGCAGGTAAATCTACCCATGGAATGTGACATTTCTTCTTATGAAGCAGATAAATCTACCCAAAGAATGTGACATGTCTTCTTATGAAGCAGGTAAATCTACCCAAGGAATGTGACATGTCTTCTTATGATACAGGTAAATCTACCCAAGGAATGTGACATGTCTTCTTATGATACAGGTAAATCTACCCAAGGAATGTGGTATGTCTTCTTATGATACAGGTAAATCTACCCAAGGAATGTGACATGTCTTCTTATGATACAGGTAAATCTACCCAAGGAATGTGGTATGTTTTCTTAAAATGCATGGAAATCTACCCAAAGAATGTGACATGTCTTCTTATGAAGCAGGTAAATCTACCCAAGGAATGTGACATGTCTTCTTATGAAGCAGGTAAATCTACCCAAGGAATGTGACATGTCTTCTTATGATGCAGGTAAATCTACCCATGAAATGTGACATGTCTTCTTATGATGCAGGTAAATCTACCCATGGAATGTGACATTTCTTCTTATGAAGCAGATAAATCTACCCAAAGAATGTGACATGTCTTCTTATGAAGCAGGTAAATCTACCCAAGGAATGTGACATGTCTTCTTATGATACAGGTAAATCTACCCAAGGAATGTGACATGTCTTCTTATGATACAGGTAAATCTACCCAAGGAATGTGGTATGTCTTCTTATGATACAGGTAAATCTACCCAAGGAATGTGACATGTCTTCTTATGATACAGGTAAATCTACCCAAGGAATGTGGTATGTTTTCTTAAAATGCATGGAAATCTACCCAAAGAATGTGACATGTCTTCTTATGAAGCAGCTAAATCTACCCAAGGAATGTGGTATGTTTTCTTAAAATGCATGGAAATCTACCCAAAGAATGTGACATGTCTTCTTATGAAGCAGCTAAATCTACCCAAGGAATGTGGTATGTTTTCTTAAAATGCATGGAAATCTACCCAAAGAATGTGACATGTCTTCTTATGAAGCAGGTAAATCTACCCAAAGAATGTGACATGTCTTCTTATGATGCAGGTAAATCTACCTAAAGAATGTGACATGTCTTCTTATGATGCAGGTAAATCTACCCAAGGAATGTGGCATGACTTCTTATGAAGCAGCTAAATCTACCCAAGGAATGTGACATGTCTTCTTATGATACAGGTCAATAATTTATGTTGGAGTTTGTTTCGCTAAAGAAAGCATCATTATGGTTTTTATTTGTCCATGGTCTTCCCATTATATTTGTATCTTCCACATAACTTTGCTGACTGTCCATGACTCGCTTCCACACATCAGGAATGATTCTATGTAGGGTATAGTTCATCAGCAATACATTATGATTGCGAAAAAAAAAGCACACACACACACACACATGAGCGCGCATGCAAACATGAAAATCACCCAAATATTTGATTAAAACAAAACCAAATAAACAGTATGAAATGAACAAACACAGTCAAATGCAAATTTACCACAAAAGCATCACATGATTCTCTCAAGGGCTTTTTAGTCTTCTCCTTCTCAACAGATGCAGCAGAGAGGACACTGTGTACCTGGTCACTGTACATGCTGTTTGGAGGAACCGGCACTAGAACCTCCACGTCACTGTATTCCACTTTCTTCCATATCATTGCTACGCCATCTTTGTAGATAACCCTGTCAATGCTTTTGAGGACATGAGTCAAGCTTTTTGGATGTTCTGCTGTTTCTTCAAAAATAGATCCTTCCTCTTGATCAGATCTCTCTGTCAACACGGAAATTTCTCTGTCCCGTTGGACGTGATCAGCCTCTAGTCCAAAGGAAATTCTGTCTGTTACAACATGGCTACCCCTTTCATCCCTTTTGGTGTCGGCAAAAATTTCAGTAGCAGTAACAGTTGTGGCGTCTGCACTGGGATCAAAAGCATCAATTTTAGCAGCTACCTCAGCTTCATTTGCTTGCCTTAACTCCTCTAAAACTTTAGATGCACTTTTGATCACCATATCAATTGACTCCGCTTTTTTAATAGACATTTTCCAGGTTTCTTCATCCATTTTTCTTTTTTCTGCAAGAACAAGGGTACTTTCATCTAAAGATGCCCTTTTGGTGGTTGAATGACTCTGTGGTATTATAATAACTTCTTCAATCGATGCATCATTAAATGAGACTTGCTTGCTGACACGTTTTTCGGTACTGGATGAAGATGGTTCTGGAATTATCGTCTCTTCTATTTCAACAGTGTCTTCCTCTAGCTCTCGTTCAAATGGTGTTGCCGATATTATTATAATAGAAGGTGTTGGCAGAGTGTCACGATTTATAGTCACTACTTTGTCATTTTCTGCATCTGATCCTGCTGTGCTTCTGGTGGTTGCGGTGCTCACAGTTCTCCTCGCATGTCCTTGGCTTGAACCATGTTCTTCTGCAAGTGTGGGATCTACTCCATCTTCTCCTGCAAGTGTGGGATCTACTCCAACTTCTCCTGCAAGTGTGGGATCTACCCCATCTTCTGCTGCAAGTGTGGGATCTACTCCATCTTCTGAATATGTGGGGGCCACCCCATCATCTCCTGCTAGTGTGGGGCCTAGGCCTTCTTCTGGATACATGGGGTTCACCCCATCTTCTGCCGCTAGTGTGGGGCCTAGGACTTCTTCTCTGACAGCTGTGTCCAAACCAACTTCCTCTGGACGGGTTTGATCAATATTTGATTCAGACTCTTGAGATAAATCTGGCTTTGATGCATTATAATTGGCATTAACATTGAAGGAGACTACTCTATTAGATTTAGAGATCATTCTAGTCCTCATATCAGAAGACGAATTTGTTAACAGTGAAACATGCTGGCATCTTTCTATAAGACTATCATCTGGGTTTTGCTCGTTTTGGATCTGAGTCCTTAATTTTGTAGCTTTTCTGTTTTTGTGCTTTTTGTTAGACACATATTTGAGGTCATTAGATAACTTGCTTAACCCTGGTTTGTTCTCATGTTCTCTAGTATTCACCAAAACATGGATCTTATCTAATGACTTCCTGGCAACAGCCAATGAATGCTTGATATTTGCCAGGTGATTGTCTAACTTTTTCAGGATGCCTCTGTCCTCTGGAGAGTCAAAAGCAGTGACTCGCTGTGAACTTTCCTGCAAAAGCAAATTTTAAAAAAAAATTATAAAGTTAGGCATTTAAAAAAATACTTTCAACTTTAAAACACAGTAATGACTTCATTTCTAAAATAAATGAACATTATAGTATGATTACTTTAAAAGACATGAATGAAAGTTCTCAAACAAATATATTAGGCTCAAGAAACAACTATCTGTATGTTTAGGTACCATTAGTTTCTGTAGGATTATCATGTCTTGTGTCTTCATTTGTCAAACCAACTGCCAAACCGGCAACTACTGCCTTTATTGTATCACTTTTGTGGTGTAGGCAGGGTTGGGGGATGGGGGGGGGGGGGGGTCTTTGAGCCGGAGGATTTACGGCCGTATGGCTGGTGCTAACGCCACAACTGTGCATGTGAGAATTTTATTTTGCCTGTTTGTCAAGCAGATGTACTTTTTTATCCTTCTTTTGTCAAGCAGATGCCCCCCCCCCCCCCAATCCCGCCTTCCTTTCCCTAATGGTTAAAATAACTATTTGGAAGTTAATGATTTCCTGTCTGATGCACTCGGCCAGTCTGGGCTGTAGCATCCAGATAACATGAGCTGTTTGTACCATGACAGTCTGGGCTGTAGCATCCAGATAACATAAGCTGTTTGTACCATGACAGTCTGGGCTGTAGCATCCAGATAACATGAGCTGTTTGTACCATGACAGTCTGGGCTGTAGCATCCAGATAACATAAGCTGTTTGTACCATGACAGTCTGGGCTGTAGCATCCAGATAACATAAGCTGTTTGTACCATGACAACCAACTGCAGATCCTCATATACTTTTTTTAAAATTGTTATTCTTCTTCTTCTTCTTTGCACTGACCAGCTTTAAACTCTGGTGGAGAGTTCTAGTTCTTCACAAACTTCTGGATATGAGTCTTGTTTCAAGACAGCAAGTGAAATGGTTTGCCCACAGAGAGAATGCCTTGTGACACCATACCATACAAAGCATACATGGAAAGAGAAGAAGGACGTAGAGCACCGGGTAGACCAAGAACAAGATGAAAGAATAACATCAGAGAAACTCTACAACAGCACGATGTGCCTATGGTCGAGGCAGCCAGAAGAGATAGAAACAGAACCTTATATCTCCCTCGACACCCACAGCGGTAAAAGAGGAAGTGAAGAAGAAGAAGAAGTCTTGTTTCACAACTTGCATTTTGCATGAAAATCCATTTTATAGATCTGGCTTTTGCGAATGCAGACTGTTGGTTCCTCACCTCTCAGACAGAGGCACTGTGACTTCAGAAGAAAGAATCACTATGATTGAATATTGCAACATGCTTGTTGGGGGAGGGGGGAGGAGGCAGTGGATCTGTCCGCACCCCACCCCCTTTCCACATGGGGATGATACTTTTTTAAAAATCACATTACATAACGAAAAAAAATTGAGGCACCATATATCTTTGTATGTAAAATAGTTTACCTTTCTTAATGGGTGTCGATTCTTTTAGCTGCTGTTTTGCTAATTCATGTTTACACATGCACGTCTGTACACATGCACGTCTGTACACATGCACGTCTGTACACATGCACATATACAAACTTAGACTGCATTCATATTTGTACTGAAATTTATCCTTCAGTGGTTAAAAAATAACTAACCAGTGAGAGATTAAAATAACTTACCAAATCTGAGGTCACTTCCATCACATAGCCAGACAAGAACTTGTGCAGTGAGCTTCAGTTGTGAACTGCCTTCTACGTGTGACACCCAACAAACAAGTTTCTAGATCCTGTGTGAGGCATTGTAGAGCAGGCTAATTACCTGGGTTATAGCATCAGCAATTGTTTATTGTCCCCCCCCCCCCTCCCCCCACATCATTACAAACAAATCCTCACTATAATCATCCTCACCACTTTTTAGCAAGCTCATTATACAAGTAATGCACCATTTCTAGTGAACTCATTATACAAGTAATGGACAATTTTCTTGTAAACTCATTATACAAGTAATGGACAATTTTCTTGTAAACTCATTATACAAGTAATGGACCGGTTTCTTGTGAACTCATTATACAAGTAATGGACAATTTTCTTGTAAACTCATTATATAAGTAATGGACCGGTTTCTTGTGAACTCATTATACAAGTAATGGACCAGTTTTTTGTGAACTCACTATGTAGGTAATATAGAGGACCATTTTGTAATGAGCTCATTATATCAGTAATGGACCAGTTTCTTGTGAACTCACTATGTAGGTAATATAGAGGACCATTTTGTAATGAGCTCATTATATCAGTAATGGACCAGTTTCAATGAATGTAGGAGACTTTGTCTACACCATGAGACATAATGAGCACAGCGTGTAGGCACATCTTCTTATAAACCTATCACTACTCAATAAATTGTGACGTCTATAGCACGAAGGCAGGCATGACTTCCCAGGAACTCCTTTTAGGCAGATCCAAGTTGGATGTAATCGGGGGTGGGGGTGTGTACACATGATCACAGAACAGGCAGGCACATGTGCCAGTAACTGCACCACCTACACTCCCAGATATTGAACAGCTAAAACAAATCTGAGGATAGCAGACATCGCTGTTTCACATCAGTTAACAAAAACATTGTCACATTATATAAGATGGCAATGCAACATGAAATGACAACAGTGGAGAGAAGGAACATGGAAAATTGAACTGAGTCTCTACAAATGCGGATATACAAAAACATAAATCATATTTCAATAGAAAAAAATAATAATATATTTAAGTTTTGGATTACACTACGAATGAAACAACACAATTTTGGCAGAAATAACTTTGGATGGGGACATTATTTTGTTCAAATTGAAAAAAAAACCAAAAACCTAATGGAAAGCATACTCGACGGAAAAATTGAAGGCAAGAGCAAGAGGTAGACCGTACAAGTGAGGGGATGACGTCAAGAGATAGGCAAATAGACGTCTGGGCTGAAAGACAGGAAGTACTGGAGATCCATTGTGACCAACCTTAATTGCGGAGATGACAGCCGAGTGACTGTTTAAGAGAAGACTGATAAAGAGGGTAGTACAGCAGAACGCAGCATTCCTACTGTGACAGACAGATTCAGCCAGGAGTGGGCAGAGAGTCTGGACAATTGTCTACCTACAGTTGAAAAGGTATGCACACTCTTAGTGCAACTAGTCCCGTCAAGACGGAAACAACTGGCTGGCTACATGAAGGAGACAGAGAGAACTTGTGGGGATGTACCTGATAGAGTGCAGTGATACCTCTTCAATAATGATCAAGAATAGCCCTCAATGTTCGAGAAAGTATTTAGAAATAAGTTCAGTGTTCAGCGAATACGCATCGTTATATACACTCCTATCTATGTTTGAAGACTTTGGTTTCGTCGTGCACTTTCCCTTGAACTCAAGGTTCCACGGGGGTCGGGGGGCCAAGTGGTCTCGAGGCATAGTGTCCACCCCGAGTGCTGGAGGTCCCGGGTTTAAGCCCCGTGAAGGCTAGGATTTTGTTCACGTGGACTTCTCGTATATTTTCCCTGGTCTTTAGGCAGTAAGATCGGACGCTGTTGTATTGTTGAGCACGTCAAAAATCCTTCTATTCTCTGAACAACGATCCTACATTATCGAGGCTAAGAAATACCCTAACAGGAACTCAATGTTTGTAACTGTGCAACCAGTGAAACTCCGCTAAATAATCAGCAAACAACGGGCGACTAGTGCCGCCGTTGGTAACGTCGCGTCCGCTAAGTTCCATCCATAACCCTTCAATCGTTAGTTCCACCCATAACCCTTCAATCGTTAGTTCCATCCATAACCCTTCAATCGTTAGTTTCATTCATAACCCTTCAATCGTTAGTGTTGCGGCTGGACTGTAGTGACATATTCTGGTGGCGGTAATTGCAACACTCCTTGCCCTAACCCTAACCCTTAATATAGGACCCAGGGAAAAAGTTAAACCTGTGACCCAGGGGAGAAGTTAAACCTAGGACCCAGGGGAGAAGTTAAACCTAGGACCTAGGGGAGAAGATAAACCTATTACCCAGGGGGAAAGTTAAACTAGGAATCAGAGAGATGTTTAACCAAGGACCCAGGGAAGAAGGTAAACCTAGGAATCAGCGAGATGTTTAACCTAGGACTCATTAAAGAAGTTAAACCTACGAATTAGGGAGAAGTTTAACCAAGGGCCCAGGGAAGAAGTCAAACCTAGGAACCAGGGAGAAGTTAAACCAAGGACACAGGGAAGAAGTTAAACCTAGGACTCAGGGAAGAAGTTAAACCAAGGATTCAGGAGTGAAGTTAAACCAAGAACCCAGGTGAAAGTTAAACCTAGACCCGAAGAGAAGTTAAACCTAGGACTCAGGGAGAAGTTTAACAAAGGACCCAGGGGAGAACTTAAACCAAGGACCCAGGGGAGAAGTTAAATTAAGGACCCAGGGAAGAACAACCAAGGACCCAGGGAAGAAGTTTAACAAAGGACACAGAAAAGAACTTAAACCAAGGACCCAGGGGGGAAGTTAAACCAAGGATCCAGTGGAGAACTTAAACCAAGGACCCAAAGGAGAAGTTAAACCTAGGACTCAGGGAGAAGTTTAACAAAGAACCCAGGGGAGAAGT